AGAGATTTTTCCAACTGACAGATGCTAGTGGTGTGTTTTTGTTTTTTTGTTTGGTTTTGGTTTTGTTTTGGTTTGTTTTTCTTCTTAGTTGTCTGAAATCAGTTTTGACTTCAGCAGGGCCTCACGTGCACTGATTGCTGCAGCTGTTTCCTGATACCTTTTTTCTCTAACCTAAAACCAGGTCCCGGTCTAGATCCCGTTCAAGGTCCCGAGGAAGAAGGTATTCTCGGTCACGCAGTCGGAGTCGTGGTAGGAGGTAGGGTTCTGGCTGTTGTGTTTTCATTCTTGTTCTTACTCCTCCCTCTGCTCCACCCCTTGCTGTAGTCCTTGTGAAAAGTACCTTGCAGTAATTTTGGTTGTTTTTTTCCCTTTGTTTTGTAGATCAAGGTCAGCTTCCTACCGCAGGTCCAGGTCAATCTCTCCTCGTAGGTATAGATCATTTTCACCCCGCAGATCTCGGTCTGGTTCTTTAAGGAGATCAAGGTATGTGTTTTCTATTAAGCCCAAAACATTGTTGAAGGGAACATAACTGTTGAGTTAACATTAAGTTTATATTTTGCAATCCATGTGTTTGCAGGAACCTTCATGGTGTTACATCTGTGAGAGCTAATCTGAATGCTTTCCTTGAAGTTAAAAACTTAAGCATATAATTTTGGAACTACTGTTTCTGAGCTTTTCTTACACTGTACCAAAGCTACAGCCTTGATGTATGGTTAAGGTTTCCTACTTCAGCTTCAAGTATACAGGGAGTAATTATGCTTAGTCGGCTAGGGCAGTGAGATTTCTTATGTGGATGGTAGTACTGGCCAAATATACTACAGCTTTCTAACAATAAAAGTTAACTTCTGCAAAACAAATAGTTCCAACAAAATTCTCTGAGGTCAGGATCAAAGTCAAAGAATACTATCTCAGCTGTATGAATCATGTAGTAGTAGTTGAGCTTTCACCGCTTTTTTCTAGATCTAGGTCCAGATCACGCTCAAGGTCCCGGTCTGTTGTATGGCCTCGAAGCAGGTAAGATACTTGTTTTAATTCAGACCAATAATAGTTCTGGGGTGTTGTGTGTGTGTGTGTTGTGTTTTTTGTTTGTGGTTTTTTTTTCTTCCCCAGGGGAGTTTGGCTGGAAGGGGTTAAAAGGTTGTGCAGCATAGCAATGTTCATGCTTAATAACTTATGCCTTTTCATAGACTAAAGTAGTGGTTGATTTCTTGTAATAAACATGAGTTTGTTTTGGTGTGTGGCTACTATATATAGTTGATGTATATGTAGCCATGAACAAAGTATATATATGATTTAAGGTCTGTGGAGAGAAGTTTTGACAACTAGTTAATGCCTGTGCATGTAGAGAATGCTTGACCTTGTGTCCTGCTTAGGTTTTTCTTGGCATGTTTTTTTGTAAATCCCAAATGCTTGGGGGGAGGGGGAGCAATGAAAAGGTTGCCACTATTGACTGAACTTTTGCTTACAGCTTTTCAGCTTTGTCAGTTCCAGTTCTGAGAGTTAGCTCAAATTAAATTGCTGTAGTGCTAAGAACTACACTATATGGGGTAGGATGCTTGACTTCAGAGGTTTGGAGGGCTGAATGAACAGGACCATGAATCTTAATGCCACAGGTAGTGTTTTGAAGGGCTTCTCTGACATGTAGCCCTGGTCTGGATGTTTTCCATGTATGGAGTAAATGCTCCTGCATTATTTTCTTCTATCCTTTGTGATAAGTCTTAGTTGGAAGAAGGGTGAAAAGAGTAGGATAAAAATGGGAGAGCCTGGTAAGTTGGAAGAAGTTGTCTTTTGTTTTGTATTAGAGTAGGAGAAGAGAAATGTTTTTTAGGGGCCTGCCTGCTACTTTAGGACTTAGACATTGAGCCTTTAAGGGGATGATGATTATTATTACTAAAGCTGTCCCGACTTATTACTCATACAGGCCTGTAATGCAGGAGATGACTAGCCAGGCTCAAATTGCATGCTGCTACTGTGGAAGAGCCTGGATACTGCTGATGTTGCTTGGTGACTTCTAGTTCTGGGACAGTCATGTTCCTGCATGAAAGACTTGATACTCGTATTGAAATTTCTGAGGAATGCTGACTTTGCATAGGCCTGCAGCTGCAGTGATGAGAAGTGGTAGTTCAGGACTGGAGTTCTGGAAGCATTGTGAAAACTCCAGTCAGTGCTGGTCCTCTGCTAATACAGCAAAACACTAGTACGTAACTGATGCTGCTTCTAGAGCTTTTGATTTGCAGTCCTGCTTTGTTGCTGTGCCTCTCGGAAGGAGGATTTGCCAGCAGTTCTTGTAGTAAGATGATGCTCTTGTGTGCTGCCTTACTGTATTTCTTATCAAAGGAAGTTATGCTCATGCTACAAAATACATGGGTATTTGGGGTAGTTGTGGGCAACTCCATCCGGTGTAACTGTGATACAGTAACAGAATTACTGGTTATAGTGTTAGGAACTGTGACAGAGGATGGCTCAGCATAGTGACCAGGAAGGTTTCAAAGCAGTGGCACGTAACTGTTTAACTTATGCCACGTGTCCATGTAATATTTCTGTAAGTTAATAGGCCAGGTAAAGATGAATCTTGATTACCCTTTAAAAACAGTTCTGAGCAGAAATAGAATAAAAGTTTTTTACTTTTTTGGCCAAGTCTATTTAAACAACTGATTATCTTGAACGCTGGGCTTTCTGATGTTCAGTAATACCACGTGCCTGAATTCTGACACTCTAGGAGGACAAATATTTTCTAAGTAACAGCAAATACTTGAGTTGGTAAAGTAACATGATAAACGTGGGAGGAAGGTCTCACTGTTTGAGTAGATTTTAATTCATAAGATGAACTGGGAATAGTTTACACATTAGTAGCCAGATGTCGAAGAGAAAACTGAAATACTGTTTTCATTGGGGTGACTGATGAAAAAGCTATATTATACTTGGAAGAAAAGTGCTGGGAACTTGATCTGAAGAATATATCAGCTCTTCAGCACACACGCTTACCTGTGGCTGATTCCAGGCTCTTAATGTGCTATTAAAAGATTTTCAAAGATGACACTTGAAACTATTCTTCCCTTTAAGGAAGGGATACTTGCAGGTGGGGAGAAAGTCTTGGGAGCCTGATACAGGGTCTTCTGTTTTGTGAAAGTGGTAGCTGAAGCTTTGCTGGGGAGCTTCTTGTGCTTGTACTCTTTTCTGGTAAGTGGGGTCTCTGGAATAAGAGCTAAAGGATCCTCCTGAAATTTCACAAGAAAAGCCTGCAGCACCAGAGCCTTCCTCTCTGGTTTGTGATGCTATGTAGTATGAATTTGCTGGTGCTGGTTTAGCTAACTTTCATTGTATGGCATGCCACTGGCTGCTTTGCTGAGCTTTATTTTTCTCCTGTTGTAGGTCTGGGTCCCATGGTAGATCTAAATCTGGCTTACCTGCTAAAAGGTGAGCGTATAAATACAAGTAGCACTTAGTATTTTTTTTTGTCATGATTCAAAATCCTGCTTGGACCAGTATTTCAGTTGCATGTGGAAGAGGGTTTTTTTTTGTTGTTGTTTGTTTGGGGTTTTTTTAATAGCTGATTTTAAAATATTTTTCATACATTATTTTTATGTATTTTTTTTATAGCTGATTTTTGTGGGACAGTAGGCAATTCTTCCAGAAGGATTGTAGATACAGGTTTTTGTTTAACCCATGATTGTGACAAAAAGTATTTTTGACAAGATTAGGGGCATATCTT